CTGAACGGACATCAACTGATTTCACTCTGAACCGGCAGGAACGGATTACAGTTCTGAACGGTAATGTATTCACCCTTCCTTATTCGCATAAATTTGTGTGACATATTGGAAGTGACAAAGAAGCTTGCTTCGAATTCCGGAGGTGCCGATTCAATTCAGCTGGAGGGCAAACTTTGTCTTATTCACAAGTTTCTACAAACTGCTTCAAAAGCGGGTTTACTCAGTCGACAGAGCGTCAAGCTTTCAACCGAAAGGTTCCAAGCCCCGGTCAGTGTCACTCGTCCCTTTTCCTTCCACGGTTCATAAATCGAAACCACTCTGTGAGAAGGAAACAGGAGACTACGTGTCTCAAATGGTTGCATACTAACGTAATGTAACGAGCTAAATTAAATCGCGAAAGGATTGACAAAACATCTTAAACCACACAACCTCGAAAAGCTGTTGTTGCTTGTTGAAATATATTACAGCGCTTTATATAAGTACGCGTCTCCGGCTTGTAAGGTACTCTTTATTCTCAGTTTTTCAACAAAGCGCCGGTTAATGCATCGTAGAAGGAAACACAGCTCTTCGAAAGCGGATCCTCTTCTAAGTTGTTCTTTCATGTTACATTCTGTCCCCTGCCAAAGCTTGAAGTTAACTATGCCCGGAACAGAACAGCCATTCCTTAAATAGTCTGCTAATTAACCATCACTATGCATCGAAGCCGAAGCTGCTGTGTGCAGTTCAATGTCCTTCTTGCTCCTTAGGATAACTGCCTCCATGCTTTACAACACCTACTTGACAGGCAATGTACAGGCGGAATTTCCTAAAAGAATAACTTGTTTCTCAGCTAAAACATTCAAGAGGTGCCCTAAAGCATTCGCGCTTAGGATGATCCTCATATTCAACTCATGTTAAAGATGATGGAGCCGAAATACCGAAAGTGGTCAACCTCGTGACAATGATATTCAAAGTTATCTATTTTACATTCACGCAACAGACCAGGATTCTCCCCTACATCTGTTCGTCAGTGTCCTTACACTGACACGGTGTAATGTAGCCTGACTAACAAAATGCCCAACCATTCTGCCGGTCACACGTCGTCATTCCCTCTAGGCGCCAGTATATAATGTTTGTATCAATGGTCCGAAAGGCAGACAATGTAACGTACCATCACCAGACAAGAAAACGAACATTTCAACATGCAAGACGAAACTTACTTAATGCATTATATCCTGTTGGAATGTCGGATTTCTTGGTTCTTATTTGTCTGGTAAGTGGCGAGCGGAACCAGCATCCTGCGCAACTCATTTTTCCTAAGAAGTCAACATAGACAGAGGGGACATTTAAAATTTATGCAACAAAAGTGCATCACCAAGATTTAAACACTAAAAGCCAAATATTCCCAAAATGGGATAGATCTTTAGAAATACTTTCTGATTTCCAACATATTTTAATTCAAATTGTCTCGTTTTTGAAAAGAAAACATAGTACATCAATCGGGTTTCAATCATGTGTTTAAGGAACACACTACGGTCAATCAGTTTCAGTTACTACTTATTATTTCAGATCGCAGAGACAT